TCCCCTCTTAAAGCATAATGGCTGGGGGATTCTGGGAGTTGAAGTCCACCCCTCTTAAAGTTGCCAGCACACTTTTAGGTCTATTGTAATAGAAACTTGACTTTGATGCTACCAAGCAGAAGGAAGGCTGGGAAAAAAGTTTGCTTTTTAGCGTTTCTCCTGGGCAGGGAAGAGTTAAAAGGGGATATAGGGGTGTGTTTCTGTGTGTGTGTGTGTGTGTTTGCCGCTCTGCAGTCCAGTCCATTAATGGGCAGGGGGTGGGGGTGGGGTGTCTGCGGAGAAGCGGCTGGAGAGGGCAGGAAAAGCCTTGACTGCTTCTCCCCCCTCCCCAATTAATTCACCAACGAGAGGAAGCATTTATCCAGCATCATCAAATATTAAAAATCTCTCTCTCTCTCTCTTTGTCTCTCTTTCTCTCTCTCTCTCCCCATGGAGAGGGGGGCATATGGGTTTCTCTCGCTGTGTGTTTAGAAATCGTGATCCCCCTCCCTCAAAATAGTGGGGTTTCCCCCCCCCCCCCCGAAAAAAAATATTATTCTGATTTCACACCGAAGATCAGACTTCATTGGCTCTTCCCTCCCCCTCCCCGAGGCTGAGTTTCTCCCAGAATTCCCTGAATAACTCCCAGAATTCCCTTCCGGTGTGGGGGGGACGACGACTGGGGAATTCTGGGAGTTGAAGTCCCCACAGCTCTAGACCTTGGGTGCGTTTGTGTCTCTCTGTGATTGCTGATGGCATTGTGTATTTTAAATGCTCTAACGTCTTCCTCCTCCTCCTCTTCCTCCTCCTCCTCCTCTTCTTCCTCCTCCCCTTCCTTTTCCTCCTCTTCCTCCTTTCTTCCTCCTCTTCTTCCTCCTTCCTTTTCCTCCTCTTCCTCCTCCCCTTCCTTTTCCTCCTCCTCCTCCTCTTCCTTCTCTCTTTCCTCTTATTCCTCCTCGTCTTCCTCCTCTTTTTCCACTTCCTCCTCCTTTTCCTCCTCCTTTTCTTCCTGTTCCTCCTCCTCCCCTTCCTCTTCCTCCTTGTCTTCCTCCTCCTCCTCTTCCTCCTCCTCCTCCTCCTCCTCCGCAGGGAGGCTATAGGCCTGGTTTGTGAAGCTGTGCCTAGCACCAAGGGAGCCGTTCGCCGGAGGAAGGTAAGACGATATTGGACGGCCCTTGGTCTGTAATGGGATCGGGTTTACCTCCTTCAGCAGGGGTGGTCAGACTAGAAGACCTCCAAGGTCCCTTTCCAACTCTCGTGATCCTGTGTTCTGGGCAGGGGGGGGTCAGGCTAGAAGACCTCCGAGCACCCCAAAATTGCTTAGCCTATTCACAGAAACAGGGTTGGGTGCTGGGGGGGGCAGAGTTTTTTCTCTCTGTCCTCCCCGTCTTCACGCCGAGGAGGATCAAAGCGGCGCGAACTCGACCTCCTCCTTCACCCTTGGACAGGACTCTCTTGTTGGGTGGGGTTTTTTTGGGGGGGGGGGGGTCTCCTCCCTTAAGAGCCCAGCCCCTCCTCCTTTCTCAAAGACGTCCTTTTTCCTGCCCGAAAAGCAGGAAGCGGCCCCCTCCCTCCTTCCTTGATCCCTTGAATCGGAAGAAGAGATCGCTGCGAGTCGATCCCAAAATCATGGGTGTGTGTGTGTGTGCGTGTGTGTGTGTGAAAGCCCCCCCCCAACCACCAGGAAGGAAGTGGACAGATGCAGTTGGGGGATCTCTAATCTCTAAGCCCCCCCCACTCCCCATTTTCCAGACCTCGATCGCGAGGTGTCAATCAACCGTTTGGGCGCCTCGCAGAACTGATCAATAGGCAGGCAAGGCAGCTCCCGCTAATGGACGCTGTAGGGGAAAAAAGGGGGGAGGGGGAAGGGGGCTTATTATTCCCCCCCACCCCCCCAATTTAATTGTGTGTTATTGCCACTTTCTCCTTCCTTGGATTTCTCCGCATCAGCAAAAAAATAAAATAAAAAAAGGACCCGGTTTTAATTATTTGGCTTGTTTCATTAAGACGAATTCCCAGCGCTCCTTTCGTTGAGTCTGCAAACAGGGAGGGGCGGGTCACGGAAATGCAGATCGAGAGCAGTTCCGTTTAGTGGCCATTTTTTGAGTGGTGGTTTTGGTGGCCTAGAAGGGGTGGGCGGGCGCTCTCTCTCTCTCTCTCTCTCTCGCCTCACCATTACTCTTTCTCTGGGCACGATGAGAATATTGTTCGCGGAACAAAACTCCCCGCTGGTGACAGGAAAGGCATCCGGCCAGTAAAAAAAAAAAAAACTCGCTTGCCCAGGCTCCGCCCCCAATGCAAGGGATTATGGGGGGGAGTTATTAAAAGAGGACGGTTGAGTGACTGTTCGGAGTTGCTGCAGCGTTGAAAAAAAAAAAGCGATTTTTTTTTTCCCAGACTTCCCACGCTCACGCATGATCAGAATTCGGACGCTTGGCAACTGACTTGTATTTATGACTATCACAGTGTCCCTGGGGTGTGTGTGTGTGTGTGTGTGTCACACGATCCCACTTTGGCGACTTTCTGATGACCCAAGTCAACGGGGGGGGGAGCCTGATTCATTTAACGACCGGGTGACTTAACCCCTGCAGTGATTCGCGTAACCACCGTGCCAGGAACGGTCGTAAAGTAAGACAGCATTGACTGAACCTCTCTGTCTCGCTTAGCCTCAATAAAATCTGGGGCTCACCTCTGGCTGTAAGTCAAGGACTATTTACACGTGCCTGGCTGCCGAGTGCCTAAAGTTTGAACCCGTGACCGTAGGGAGGCTGCAACGGTCATAAGTACGAGGACCGTTCCTAGGGCCCATTTTTCAGTGCAGCTATGACTTAGTCACTGTTATATGTGAAAATTTACCTTATGCACCTGAGAATATAAAGAGCGAGAGAGACTCCATGTTTGTTCTTAATCATTCTGACCTGCTAGAGATCCGAACATTTACAGTATATAACTTATTAACTTATTATTCTGCTAAAGTTCTGTAGAATTGCAAAATATAATGTCCTTGGCTTGGTTTGAGATTCATTAAGGGGTTGGCCTTGGCTGATTAAATATACAAAAACTGATGATAAATGGATTCAGGTCGAACTTTGCACTGTTGAATGGCCGAATTATATTTTAAAACTTCCGATGTCCTCCCAGCTTCTCCATGTGAAAAACAGGAAGTGTTATGCAATCTTTTAAATGTGATAATCCTATATTAGGTTGTATTGACTGGAAAAGGGGGGTGTCTCTTTTCTCCTAAACTGTTGTTTGGAGAATTTGGGGGGCCGATATTGCAACATCTCTTACATTAAAAGCCTTCTACGGATTCCGATTATCACGGTCTGTTGTTTTATTTTGGTCCTATTCTCACCGTCACTAAACGAATTGGTTGTCATAAGTGAAGGACCCCCCCGCACGTGACGGCTACCGAGCAGCCTGAATATAAAATAAAAATAAACTTCATTAGTTTATTTGCCAAGTGTTCCACTTAGTGACCTAAATGTGGGGGGGTTGCGGTCGTAAGTCGAGGACCCCCCTGTAACATGCCCCTTGCTGAGCGGGCTGAATTTATCCCTAATTGGTTCGCCAATGTCCCGCTTAGCAACCTAAACTGGGGTTGCTCCATCACGGTCGTACGTCGACTATTTACACATGCCTGGCTGCCGAGCGCCTGAATTTTGAACCCGTGACCGTAGGGAGGCTGCAACGGTCATAAGTACGAGGACGGTTCCTAGGGCCTATTTTTCAGTGCAGTCACGACTCAGTCACTAAACGAATTGGTTGTACATGACGGCTTCCGAGCAGCCTGAATAGTTTATTCTTAGTTTATTTGCAAGGGGTCCCACTTAGTGACCTAAATTTGGGGCCCACATTGCAGTCGTACGTCGAGGACCCCCCACCTGTAACATGCCACCTGCCGAGCGGCTTGAATTGATTGCTCCTTAATCGCTTCGCCGATGTCCCCGCTTAGCGACCTATACCGGGGTTGCTCCCTCGCGGCCGTAAGTCGAGGACCTGCCTGAATTCTGTTCTTTCCCTTTGGCAGCCCTGCGGCCGGGCGCTGAACTCCATCCTGGGCAAGACCAACCTGAAGTTCGCCGCCATGCCCATCACGCTGACCATTTCCACCAACAGCCTCAACCTCATGGCGTCCGACTGTAAACAGGTGAGCGTCTCCCACCGGCCCCTGCTTGGCTTCCTTTAACCGAGGTCTCGTTTTGTGACGTGCATCGCCCGGCGCCGAGGGAAAAAAGAACCTCCCTGGGCCCCGAACCGTTTCAAAAAAAAAAAGTGTAAATGTCCGTTGCCGTACGAGATACGGTGTGAGTTTTGCCCCGTTGGTCGACATTTCTTGCCAGGGTTTGTTACGGGAGTCACAGGGTCGTTAAGTGAATCCGGCTTTCCCCCCCACCTTCCCCTTGACACCAAAGGCGTCACTCTGGCCGCGACCGTCATAAATACCAGCTAAGTTCCCGAGCGTCTGAATTTTGATCCCGAGATTGTGGGTGGGGAGGATCCCGTGTTTTTACCCTACAATGGTCATTAAGTGTGAAAAAAACGGCCCTTATACGTCCCTTATTTCAGGGCCGTTGTAACTTCGGTCACTAAGCGAGCTGTTGTAAGTTAAGGAATGTCCATGTTGTGTTTTCCTTTTTGAACTGCTCAATGTTATTCCTGCTTTCGATTTGTAGATCATTGCTAATCATCACATGCAGTCGATCTCGTTCGCTTCCGGAGGGGATCCAGTGAGTAATAGTATATATATATTTTTTAAAAATAGATTTTTATTGTGTTTTCCACCAATGCAACTCAAATCATAACCACATTTTCAACGGCATCTTGACATGTACAAATATTACGATCTTACAAGTCTTAATACAATTAATATACATCTATCAATAACTATAATCTTGGTCAGTAATTGGTTCGATCTTATATTCTTATATATTTTACATGTTTACAAATCGTTTTCTTAAGGTCTCTTACAGTTAGTCAGTCAGCAATAGCAGATTTTAATTGTTTATTTCCACAGCCAAAGTTGGCTGCAATTTACATAAATCCGGGTATTATTTTCTGTAAAAGGTGTGCAAAGGTTTACACCCGTGTGCAATTTTATTTCATTTTTTTTTTAACCCTTTCTCCGACTTCCATCAACTTATTTGGCATTATTTTTGCAGGATACGGCGGAATACGTCGCTTACGTTGCCAAAGACCCCGTTAATCACAGAGGTAGGTTTTTCTCCCATCATCTTGGCTTGGATCTGCCAATCCTGGCTAAATCCTGGCTTCTTCTCCTGCAGCCTGTTTAATCTGTTTGAAGTTTTACAACGGCGCTGGGGGGGGAAAAGGGGGAACCCAGGACCATTATTCAAGCTTAATGACGGTTGTGGTATCCCCGTTTCATAGCGGAGCACGGGTATCGAACTAATCTATCAATAATCAATCAATCAATTTGGGGTCTGTCTGCAGCTTGCCACATCCTGGAGTGTCCCGAGGGATTGTCGCAAGATGTCATTAGCACCATCGGACAAGCGTTCGAATTGCGCTTCAAGCAATACCTCAAGAACCCTCCTAAACTCGTCACGCCGCATGACAGGTAAGGGCAAAGCAGGATTGGAACTCGCTGCCCAGAGGGGTTGTTTTTTTGTGGGTGTGTGCGTGTGAAGGTATTCCTCAGCTTATCACAGTTCATTTAGTGTCCGTTTCAAAGTAAACAACGGCACTGGGAAAAAACAATGGATTCGGGACCGTTTCCCACACTTATGACCGCTTGAAGTTTCCCTGTGATAAAAATTGAGACACTTGGCAACTTGTACTTATGACGGCCGTAGTATTCCCTGAAGGTCACAGAATCCCCTTTTGCGACCGTCGGATGAGCCAAGTCAATGGGGAGGGAGCCAGATTCACTTAGCAACCTTAAAAACGGAGGTGGTTCACTTAACAACTGTGGAAAGGAAGACTGTGAGGCCAAATTCGCTTAACTGGTCTCGCTTAGCCACATAAATTTCTGGCTTCCATGCTTGTCATAAGTCGAGAACTGCCTAAGTTGACTTAATAACTGTGGTAAGACAGGCCTTGGGCCAAATTCACTGAAGTGTCTCGCTTAGCAATGTACATTTTGGGGGTTCTGTTTGTGGTTGTAAATTGAGGACCACGGTCTGTGTCCCTGATGTGGTTCTCTCCTGACCAGGATGGCCGGGTTTGACGGCTCTGCTTGGGATGAAGAGGAAGAGCCGCCGCCTCCTGACCACCAATACTACAACGATTTTCCGGGCAAAGAACCTCCCTTAGGAGGAGTAGTTGATCTGCGTTTGCGGGAAGGGGCTGCGGCGGCTCAGACCCCCAACAATTTGGGAGCCACCTTGGTAAGTTCCTCCCACTGACAGTTGTGCGCGATGTAAGTCATTTTACCCATATACATGTGTACATATATATATATATGTGTGTGTGTGTGTATGTATGTATGTATGTATGTATATATCAGAAGCCTGATGATGGCAGATGAGATTCTGCCGAAACGTTGCTACAACTTTAAAAGCACAACTACAATGACGTGGGAAAATACCCGAACAAAGCTGAATACCATACATACATACATATGT